TTTGACATTTTATTATTTTGTTAATGTAACGAAAAAGATTATTTAAAACTAATTTCATCTTATTATAAAGAAAAAGATTATTACTGCTACTTAATGTAGTGTGCATTTTTATGTTTTGAATTTATTTTAATTTGTTGATATTAAAATATTTGGTAACATTTGACTTTATGTTCATATATTTTTGTTATCAATTCTATTTTAATTCATTTATACCTTAATAAGTGTTTTTTTATTGCAATTAATTTTTTCTTTTCTTAATCAAACGAATGCATTAACGTCTAAATGACAAAAATAAGTGTATCTCTATTATATTTCATTCAAATGCTCTTTGTTGTTGTTTTCATGGTAACCGTTAGATTTGCATTTTTTTTCTTATTTTCTACATTGTCAAATTATAAATTATTCAATACAGCTTATATATTATGAGTTCTAATTTGGAGAGAAAAACATTTTTCCAAACTTATTGCATTATTAGATTATTCAACAAGTCAGCTTACAGATTGCTTGGTTCTCCTATTTTTCCTCTGCTTTACTTATAATAAGCCATAAGTTAAATAATGCAATCATTCTTCAACTACTCATCTTTTTTCTCAATTATCTAACCATATTAGATACTTACATTTTTCTTCATAGTTAGGTTGTTCTTCACAAGAAAATCAATTTTTTGATGAATTATCAACTGTATTTCATATGTGTATAACTATTAGATTGAAAGACAAAGCACTAGTTTAGTTTAGTTTTCATAGACTACCTTTTCAGATGAAATTATTATCAACAAACTGCCCTTAAATAGTATAGTACACGACCTTACACACACTACCAACCTTTGTTATGCTTCATTTTTTTCTTGTTTTATTTCCTTCCCATTCCCATGTAGTAGAGTGAAAGCTTCCTTCACTTTCTTGTTTTCTCACATTTGGTAATACAATTTTTCTTACTTTTTACTTCAACAAATCTATGCATCTATAGTAACATATACTTTTTTTTGCATGTTTTGTGTTTTCCTTTTGCAGCATTACTTTCAGTACTCAAAATTTTTGCTTAGCTTGTCACTTTACTCCAGATTAGTCATTTCACTTATTTATTTAGCACCAGTTAAACCTGTATAAACTAGCTGGAATTACCACCAAACATAATATACACTTTTCCTTTCAAATTTATTTTATTTTATTTATGCGTTAATACTTGCTTTTTATTAGAACGAATTTTTTCCCTTTAATAACCAACAATGCATTAAGATGCTCTTTATAATATATACACATAACACTCAACTCATAAACCATCTTTCAAATTTTGTTATTCTTAAACACTTTAGTGTGGGCATTTGCCATGCGGCCTTACTAGTATAAGAAGCAAGGGGTTTAGTTCTTTGCTTCCTTTCTTGCCACTTGGCTTCTTAATAGGTTGACAAGTGGAATATTTATTATCCCTTGCATAACTTTTTTTTTGTCCCTTTGTCATGCCAAATCAACAAGTGGCCCTTATGTTGTCCTTTCTGAATCCAATGGGTTTTTTTATCTCTATTATCTCTATTATATAAGAAGATATGGAAGTTTACTATATCACCCTAATTTTTGAACACGTGGCATAGTTCTCCTTTAAGGAAGTTGTGATTTTTTCCCATTGTTTATTTTTATGCTCTTAAATGCTTCTTTCCGTGAAGGATTTAAATTTATAGAGCAATCAACAATTTCTTCTGAAGGCAGAGATCAGAGTTACTGGCAACAAAGGCAAACTGTAAAGTATGTAAGGGGTACTTCTGTTTTTCCTTTATGACTTTGCCTGTATTTAGTAAGGAAATAAATGTGCAAGGCAAACAATAAAGTATGTAAGGGTACTTTTGTTTTTCCTTTATGACTTTGCCTGTATTTAGTAAGGAAATAAATGAGTATGCACAGTTTTTCCTTTCCTAGAAATACTTAACTAATCTCACATGTCTTTAGTCAAGAGGTACATCAATCAAATTGCATCATATATGAATCTAGGTCCATTTTCCGTTGAAAAATCTTATTCTCACACATCTTTGGCCATGGGATTGGATCAACTTTCACAATATATAAATCCTAATCACAATTTCCTTAGTCCTATGGGGAACTTTGTACACACACACACACATATATATATATATATATATATATATATACGAATTGGCTTCGCATGCACTTGTAACTTACTAGTACTTTTGGAAAGTGCCCATGATCTCATTCTTTAAGTTGTGATATCAAAGCCTAATATATAATATGAGAAGGCCACTTGTGGGCCGAAATACGAGCTTAGAGGAAGGAATCTCCATGCTCGTCCCATAAGTGTAACTCAACTATAGGTACGAGTGGTTAAAGGTTCGAATCATCATGAAAATAAGTGAGAAATCAATATTGATCTTTTTTGTGAAAAAAAAACTAAGTAATTAGGAATTTTGAGATCTCTCATTCAATTCATAAATAATTTTCTTTCTCCTTCCTTTTATAAAGCCCAAAAAAAAAGGAAGACTTAGCTCCATGCTCTAGCTCAAGGTAAACGTCAAGTTGTTCTTTTTCGTGTCTTTTCGAAGGGTCTGGAGAAAGTTTCAATTAATAGGATTTTCCTAATCCTTCCTTCCATAAGGAAGAGCGTGACTTTTTTTTTTTAGAATGAACTCCTTTCTTTATTTTCTTTATTTGGTGTACAACTTGCCGGATAAAAAGAAATTTTCATGTTCGATTTTGAAGGGGGAGATCCTATAGGATCATGTCTCAATTTCTTTTGCTAGACCCATAACTTAAAAACCCTTCTTGCTATCACGAGATTCATCGAATTTAGATCCAATTTGAAATACAACATTCCTTTTTTTTTTACTGCCCAAGGCTTTGATTTTCGAACATATACAAAAATGCTTTAGTTGGGCCTCGACTTTGCCACCGTGTCCAAATGCATGATGTTAACACAAAAATAATTAGTCTCAAATTTACCTGTTTGTTGTCCAAATATACTGATTTGTTCTTCAATTGATTTTTAATACCCGATTTTTAGATTTTGATTAAAAAAATTAGTTTATCGTGTTTACAACTTTTTTCATATTGATTTTATGAATAAGAAAGCTGAAAATCTAAAGTTATTATCATCTTTTACATAATGATAATTAGCAAAGAACAAGGCCATTATTTGAAAGCTAATACTTGCAATTACATTGCTGTTTATAATCATAAGAATACACAAAAATTAAAAGAGAAAAAAAAAAAAGTTGGTTGAAGAAAAGCTAACTAAACCAATATTTTCATGATTCATAATGTTGAAGAGTCCAAGTCTACTTTGTATTGAGTGCTCAATCAAGGGATAATTAAAAGGAAAATAAAATAGAAAAAATTTTGAGAACAAAAACAATAAAAAGAAGTACCATTTTTTTAGAGGCAAATTTCATACACGGAGTCAGAATGCTAGTCCGTTATATTATTAAAACAATAAATAAATTATAAATTTTTTTAAAAAAAATTTAATATATGTGGAGAATTCAAATTTGGAACCTTTCGAAGCATTCAATCTATCTCTCTCCAAAATGAAATACAAAAATTTTGAGGGGCCAAACCTGACATCGAGAACAAACAAGAAAAAGGGGCACTTGAGAATAGAGGTGGCAAAATGGGCGGATGGGCGGGATTTGCTTGGGTTGAGATGGAACCGAGTCATATGGGTTTGGGTCCAACCATACCCATATGTGTTTTGGGACTAACTTGGCGGGATCATTTTGGGATGGGTTTAGATTCATCCGCCCAATACCCAAATTCATTTTCTACATATTTTTTTTCCTTTAATTCATTTTTTATTTTTTATATAATTTTAATATTTTTGATTTATTAAATTTCTTTTAGTTTTATTAATAAACATGCAAGTGCTTTATACTCAAGATTCCCACCAAAAATTGGATTAACAAATAAAGGAAAAGATAGATATACAGCCATATTCCAACATATATCAAGATGGCCAAGGTCCTTAGGACGTTGAATATTTATCCTCATCATTGTCCAAGGATGACAGGTCTAAACTAACTGAAATGCTAGAAATTCTTGTGGATAATGACTAAGAAGACTACTAGATTATATTCGCTGGTATGACTATAAAAATTGTTAAAGATAATTTTTGAATCTAAGACTCCGTTTGGATTGACTATTTTTTCAAAAAATAAGTTTTTCAAATACAATGTTACAGTAATATACAATAACTCAAGAAACATCCCATCCATATTAGTATATCAAATATTTCAAAAAAATTTTATAGTAAAAATTTTTCATATACACGGCTACAATAAAATATTTCAAAAACACCTACCAAAAACAACTAATCCAAACGGAGCCCTTGCCATTTGAGCCCAATGGGTACCCAAGTATTTCCCATCCTTTCCCATTCATTAATGGGTATAGTTGGGATGTGTCCCAACTTAAACCCAATACCAAATTATAATACCCATCCCGCCCAAAGTTCCTTTGGGCATGGGTAGCCCATTGGGACTTGGGACAAATTGCCAGCTCTACTTGAAAACAAGAGGTTAGCTTACTTATATTGCTGCAAAAATGTCCAAGTGTCAAGCGAATCCCCATAACTATTTTGAAAAAACTGATGAAGCCTCTAGAGAAAAAAGGGGAGAAAAAAACACTTTTGTAGTGTAACATGAGGACGTCTTCGTGAAGGTTCTATCCAGGAAAGAACCAAAAAAAAAAAGTGAAGCATACCAGCTTTGACCATGCCATATATTCTTTTTTTTTTTTCGAGGGTTTTTTTTCTTCTAAAAAAGAAACAAAAGCAGAATATGTCCAGCTTGGTGGCAATTTTCTAAATTTAACAACCGCCTTTTCCTACCTAAAAATAAAAAAATAAAACCGACCTGATCACATCGAATCTTAGCTCAATTCCAACTTGGAAAAAGACCTCCACATAGCCGTCCAGATCATCAACAACCGCTTAATCCTAACCGTCCATTCTTCAACAAACACCTATAAATAACCCCAACCATCCCCCGGACTTTTGTTAACCCTCGGCGGTTTGGTTGTTAGGTAAGAATCGTCTAACTCGGTTTTCTGCATCGGTTTAGGGCTGTGAAATTAGTTAAATTGGAATTGTCAATCGACGGTAGGCTCTGATTTATTCATGATTGCTTTAGGTGGTAGCTCTGGTATTCGGCGTTTTCGCGATCATCAGATAGTTCGAGTTTTTTTGCAATAGTTTGGTTTGTTGATATGATGATAATTTGTCCATCGTTCCAATTTATCGGACAATTTTGGTGTCGGTTTTCCTTCTTGTTAATGTTTCGAAATTCACCTTGTTGTAGAATTGGCAGAATGGAGGAGAGAAGCGCTCTGTTGGATGGATTTGAATGTGGTCCGAAAATTTGGGAGTTCTTCTCTAATCCCCTCTTGGTCTTGGGTTGTTCTTATCTTTGCTTGATAAAGTCACCGCCTTTATTTTATGGGGTCATTGCTGACGAGCTCTAGGTGTTGTCTTGATCTTAGGGGAGCTTGGATTCAAGGGTTTGGTCGTGATTATTATCCTGTTCTCCTGTTTTACAAAATTTTGGGGGAGTTTTTCTTTCCCTACTTGTGGCTTTGTGCTGTTTTCCTGAACAACGATTGGGAGTTTTTTTTTGGATAATAATGATTGAAAAACCATAGGAGTTATCCAACATACATGACTTTGTTTGGTATTCCAGTTTATCTGACAATTTGGCATCACATTACCGTATTGTTGTTGTTGCTTAGAGATTGGCCTTGCTTTTAGAACGGTGGAATTCTGGCCTTACGAGGAGAGGAGATGTTTTGACTGGTGCTCTAAAATCGGGAAATTTACCACCTTTTAGGGAGTTATTATTATCTGGCTCTACATGTTGTCTTGATCGTAGGGGAGCTTGGAGTTTTGGTCATTGTAGTTACCCTGCTATATTGGTTTACGAGATTTCATAAAAGTTTGCTCTTTTCCTACTTTTTTTAAAAATTTTTTTTTTTTAAAGCTGTTTTTCCTTAGGACTGATGGGGACCTTCTGGATATGGTGATTGATTTGCTCTGCATCTACCTCGTTAGGATTGAAGGATTGAACAACTCAAGTTGTCTGTTTCAAAGGAACTATTTAACTTCCTTGACATGACTTTGGTTGCTGGAATCTGGGTACAGATGACTCGGAGGTTTGATGACAACTTACGTCTCTTGTCCGAAATCAAAGGCTTTTTGCATTGTTAACAAAGGGAGTTCGCACTATTTTTTCCTTTTTGCTTGAGCCAACTTAGTGGTTTTGACACCTGTAAATATCTCATGTCCCCCCCTTAATGTTAGGATCTTGGAATTGAGACCTGTATCTTCTAATGCATCCAAAGGCATTTCCTCTTCATATTTTTAAGTAACTTTTTTTGCTCATGTATTTCTTGTTTTTTGCTGACACTTTGTTTAAAGTTGTACTGATTATTGGTCTTGTTCCAGGGGGTTCCCTTCATCCCAACCTTTTTAGTTGTGGTTGCTCTAAGAGGTAACTGGCATCATCAATTATGCTGTGTTGTTCAAATAGGAAGTGTGAATTTGATTGTTTTCATCATTGTGCATTACATGATTTTGGAGATTTTCTCGTCATATGCGTGATGGTTAGGGCTTCTTTTGGCAGCTTCTAAATGGTTGTTCGGGTTATATGTCCTCAGCTGTGTAGTAGGCGTTTTTTGGAAGGAGTTCTGTTTCCCACCTGTATACTTGAAGGTCGTCTCTTTAGGCGGATGTGGAATTTCAAGTTTTGCAATACTGGGTTTGTCGTCATTATGTTTTTCTCATACATGACAATTTATTATTGGAAGATTTTGACATCAGTTAACTTTATTGATATGTTATCTCTATAAAATGAGTTGGGGGCACAACTATCAGCATTTAAACAGTACGTGAAGGAGAGCTGTCCTATCCAAGGGATGTGACAGTTTAAAGTGTTTGAAAGTATTTTTCAACATTTCTATGCTGATTACTGTTTATAACAATCTATATTTGAAAGCCAACAGTTTGCGGGTCATTTGACTTTGTATACTCATGGATTTTTGGTGATTTTGAGCTGTTGTTGTGGTATCTCGGGGCTTCCTTCTTCCAATCAAAGCTTATCTTCCTTGTCTTGGAGGAGTCCTCTTCTACCTTGAGCTAATTGCACCTAGTTGTTTTTGAACTTGGTGGTTTTGGGAATATTTTTAATGTCCATCTCTCATCTGTACTATAGTGGCTTGGATTCAAGATTGATCGTTTAGTACTGTAGCTGTGAATTATCTTCAACATGATTCTTGAGCCAAAAAGTTGAGCAGTTCTTCTCTTTGATACTTGGTGTGACTGGTTTTCTTAACCAACAGTGGACAGCTTTTGGTTAGTCATAAACCCATTCTGTCCTCTAATTTGATGAAGAAGTTTGTGTGGCTAAAATGTCTGAAAAGAGCTATCAACACCCTTATGTGCTTATTACTTCCAAGTCTGTTTGTCTATCTTCATTTTAGGAAGAAGCTTGGAATTAAAGAACTCACTGGGTTAAAGTGATTGAATGGCGTTCTCTGCTTCTTTGGAGCATTACATTTTTTTTTGGAATCATCTGTAAGGACTTTCTGTGTTTGTTGTGTACGATCTTGGGTTTGTGTCTCCCTGTTTTCATCGAGATCTTTGCTTTCTTCTTCTGAGCCTAACACCATTTACATTGTTTTGGAGGAACTCTTTTCTGCCTCTGACTAATTGATCCTCTGTGCATGATCAATTTTCAGTTTTCTATTGATGTTGATGTCTCCTCTCTATTGTTGGAACTGGGGTGCAAGATGGGTGTTGTGCTTGAAGATTTCCTAGGCTCTTTTATCTGCTTCTTGATAATTTGGCGAATTCATTCTGCTGTTTGGCGCGGCATTACAATTTATCCATCTGCATGATGTTGTGAGAGAAAATGGGAGTCTCTTTGTCCCTACTTTCCTTCTGAGCTTTTCTTGATGAAATAGTGGATAACATGTCATCTTCATTTTGGAAGGAGCTTGGATTTGGTGAGCTCAGTGATGTCATTAAAATAATTGAAAGGAGTTCTCTGCTTCCTCGTGTATTACTTTGTTTGAAGATTGACAGTTCTGGGATTATCTGTAACAACTATATATCTACATCTTAGGATCTTGGGTTTCAACCATGCTGTTGTCATTTAGATCTTAGGCTTTCTTTTGTCAAAGGATATTTACATCATTGAAGGTCAAACTAATTGTTTGTTTGTGGTTGATCAGTTATTGGTTTTGGGGATGTTATTGACGAATATGTTTCCTTTACTCCAGCAGCTTGCATTCAAGTGACATCCCAGGCTCTTTTATCTGCTTTTGATTTTTTGTTGGATTCATTCTTTCATTGGAGCAATAATTATTTTTAATTATTTGGGGTGGCAGTGAATTCTACTGTGCTGTAATGCGGAGAGAATTGCAAGTCCTGTGTTGTGGTTTACATGATTTTGCGGGAGAGCCGGAGTTTTTTGCTTTCCCTGCTTTTGCTGTTAGGTTTCTCTGAACAATAATGGACAGTTTCTGGTTAAATTTTGAGAGGCTTCATCATCATCATTTTAGGAATTGAAGAAAGTCAGTGTGCAGTTATAAAGTGATTGAAAGGTGTGTGTGTATTACTTTGTTTTGGGTTATCTGTAACGCCTTCGCATATTTGTTTTAGGAGTTTAAATTGGTCTGAGCTGTTGTAGTGACATCTTCGGTCTCCTTTAGATTAAAGGCTATCCACGTTGGTTTGAAAGGAATTCTATTCTGCCTAAACTAATTGTTTGTCAGTGGTTGACAATTGACGATTTTTGGGATGTGGTAGCATCTGTGTCTTGTTTGTATTCTAGGAGCTCAGGTTCAAGATTGCTTTTTTGGTAACATCTCTGGCTGTTTTATCTGCTTTTGAAGCTCGTACTGGTCGGCATAGTTTCACGAATAACGCCCATTCCTGGTTATTTGGTGTGGTTATGAAATAATTATTCGTTCTGATGCAATTACTAATTGCAGTTCACCAGCTTAAGTAATAAATATATGTTTTTTCCTGGTCTATGAGTTGATTTCAGAGGTTGAGGACTAGTTATTTTAGTTTCTATGGTGTATTTACAGCAGCTGGTCCTTTTTTTGTTGCTGCAGAGAATACAGTGACTGGATGCTACTTGCTTTGCTAACACCTTTGATATATGCAGTCTTAGTGTTGATAATAAATGCTTTGGACTGTCGGACCCTGTAGATTGCCGGGTTGATTGATGAACTGTCAATTCTACTCTTTCAAGTACTTGCTACAATTCTTGTTCTGCAACTTTCACAGTGGTTTTCAAAATTTTCAAATGGTCTTCTGGAGGGTTTTCCTTGGGTTTGGAGGTATGGGTACCTGCTTTGGCTTTTTGCAAATTTGCGAGCAAAACTTTTGAGGTCCGTCTAATGCCCTGTTTCTCTTTCTTTGCACCACATATCTTCAGAATTGTGGGTTCAGCTATACAAAATGGTGGTCATCTATTATATTTGTGGAACTGCTAAGAGGTGGTTGTGTTAGTATTTGATAATCTACACTTCTGTTGGTGGTCTATCATGTCATGTTGCTTTGCACACATTTGTGGTTCTCCTCCTGCTTGTTTGGCTGGATATGCGTATTTAAAAGAGCTTCTAAAGTTAAAGAAGTGAAGGTTTCCTCTTACTCAGGTTAATTTTTACTGTTCTCTTTTTCCACATTCAAATTTTCTGCTTGCTTAACATTTGGAGATACTGATTCAAAGGTCATTTCATTTAATTTTTTTCTTCCTTTTCTGGAAGCTATATGGGCTATATGTTGCTCAATATTTGCGTGAACTGTTTCATCTTCAGATGTCTGAACCTGCTCTACACCATGTAGTTCTTTATGCTTGCATCCCCTCGTTCACTTCACGGTTTGTAAAGGTTTTTGAGAGTTTCATGCGGTAATGCTTAATTCATAACCATGGTCATTCAGATGCTACTTGAGCACAGTTTTCAATACATATGCATCTGGTTTTTCCATATTTAACCTGTGAAGATATATGGGTAGAGTGACTGCTAGCTGCATTGTCTCTGGGGGCATCTGGACAGATGTCACAGAAAATAAAAATACATAAAGCAGAAAGTGACAGCGTCAAATTTGTTCAAGAAAATAATAAAGGATTCATTAAGCGTGCAATACAGTTAAGATTTCAAATTTGTTCAAATAATGAGTAAAAGATTCATAAAGATTCATAAAGGGTGTTTTGCTAGGTAGCACTACTGGTCTGCTAGTTAATCTGCTCAATTTTTAACATTCTAGCCAGAATTCTGTGCAGGGACAGCTTTTGGTTTAGTTACAAAAATTTGGGGGAGTTTTTCTTCCTCTACTTTTGGTTTTGTGCTGCTTTCCTGAACAATGATTGGGAGTTTTTTTTTTTTTTAATGATATTGATTGAAAAACCATAGATGTTATCCAACGTATATGACTTTGTTTGGTATTCCAGTGTATCAGGCAATTTTGGCATCATATTACCGTATTGTTATTGTTGCTTTAGAGATTGGCCTTGTTTTTAGAATGGGGAAATTCTGGCCTTCCAAGGAGAGGAGATGTTTCTTGGATGTGAATGTGCTCTAAATTTGGAGTTTTTTTTTTCCTTTCCCATACCCTCCGTGTTGTAATCTTTGCTTAAAAAATTTGCCGCCTTGTAGTGAGTCATTATTAACTGGCTCTACATGTTGTCTGATTGTAGGGGATCTTGGAGTTTTGGTCATTGTCATTACCCTGCTATATTGGTCCATGAGATTTCATACACATTTGCCCTTTCCTACTTTTTATTATTTTTAAATTGTTTTTCCTGAGGACTGATTGGAACCTTCTGGATTTGATGATTGATTTGCCCTCTGTCTACCTTGTTAGTACGAAGGATTGAACAACTTGTGTTCAAAGGAACTATTTAACTTCGTTAACTGACTATGGTTGCTGGAATCTGGGTCTAGATGATTTGGAGCTTTGGTGACAACTTTATGTCTCCTGCCTAAGATCAAAGGCTTTTTGCATTGTTAATGAAGGGAGTTCACATTATCTCTGCTTTTGTGCTTGAGCCAACTTAGTGGTTTTGACACCTGTAAATGTCTCTGTGTTCCCCCCTTTGTGTCATGAGCTCGGAATTGAGACCTGTATCTTCTAATGCATCCAAAGGCCTTTCTAACTCTTTAAAAAAAAAAAAAACTTGTGTATTTTCTTTCTTGTGTTCTGACAATACTTAACAAAGTTGTACTGATTATATGGTCTCGTTCCAGGAGCTGACCTTCATCCCAAACTCAGTTCTGTTTGCTCTGAGGAGGTAACTGGCATCATCAATTACGCTGTCTTGCTCAATTAGGGTGTGAATTCGCTTGTTTTTGTCCTGTTGTTACCAGCATTTACATGATTTCGGAGAGCTTCTCGTCATATGCATCGTGATGGTTGGGTTGGCTTCTGAATGGTTGTTCAGGTTGTATGTCCTCCTCTTCATGTTAGGAGCTTAGGTTGAAGAACTCATCCGTGTAGTGGGCATTGTTTGGAAGTGGTTCTGGTTCTTTATCTTTATTACTTGAATGTTGTCTCTTTAGGCAGCTGTGGAATTTCAAGTTTCGCAATGTTTGGTATGTAATCATTTTTTATGGTTCTCTCTTAGATGACAATTTGTTATTCAAGGATTTGAGATCAGTTAACTCTATTTATATGTTATTTCTATAAAATGAGAGTTGGTGGCTTAACTATCAGCATTTAGAGAATATGTGAAGGAGAGCTATCCAAGGGATGTGACAGTTTAAGAGTGTTTGAATGTAGTTCTCTGTGTCTCCACACTGATCACTGTGTATAACTGTTTGAAAACCAACAGGTTCTGTGCCATTTGACTTTGTATACTTGTGGATTATTGACAATACCAGGCTGTTGTAGTGATACCTAAGGGCTTCCTTCTTCCAATCAAGCTGTATACCTTGTTTTGGAGCAGTCTTCTTCTACCCTGAGCTAATTGTTGCTAGTTGTTGCTGAAGTTGGTGGTTTTGGGAATGTTTTTAATGACCATCTCTCATCTGTGCTGTAGGGGCTTGGATTCAAGGTTGATCTTGTGTCTTAACACTTTTAAGGATCTTTTAGTTGCTTTTGATTGATTTTGTGTGTGTGTGTGTGTGTGTTTTTTAAGTACCAAGGTGTGGCAGTCAATTTGATTGTTCAGTACTGTAGCCGTGAATTGTGGTCAACATTATTCTTGAGCAGTTCTTCTCTTCAAATACTTGGTGTACAGGCTTTCTTGAGCAACAGTGGGCAGTTTTTGGTTAGTTATAAACCCTTTGGTTTATCCGTAAGGACTTTTTTGTATTTGTTTTAGGATCTTGGGTTCGATTCTTCATCGAGATCTTTGCTTCGTTCTTGTAAGCCTAAGACTATTTACTTGGACCCCGTACCAGTTGATCTCTGTGCTTGATCAATTATTGGTTTTCTGGAAATTGTTGATGTTGATGTCTCCTTTCTATTGTAGGAACTGTGGTACAAGATGGGTGTTGTGCTTGAAGAGACTCTAAGCCCTTTTATTGCTTCTTGATTATTTGTCGAATTCATTCTGTTGTTTGGTGTGGCAGTAAAATCTACCTCTCCGTAATGTGGGTGAGAAGTGCAAGTCTATGTTCTCTTGTTCATGATTTTGCAAGAGAAAATGGGAGTTTTCTCCTTCCCTGTTTTTCTCCTGAGGTTTTCTTTGACCAAATAGTTGACATGTCAGGTTGACTAAGATCTATGTCATCTTTAATTTGGAAGGATCTTGAATTCGAGGAGCTCAGTCATGTCGCTAAAGTAACTGAAAGGAGTTCTTTGCTGCCCTTCATGTATTACTTTGTTTGAAGATTGACAGTTTCTGGATTATCTATAAAATTCATTCTTTCTTCACTGGTTTAATGAATAATCTTTCTTAATCATTTGGTGTGGCAGTAAATTCCATGTTCTGTAATGTGATGAGAATTGCAAGGGCTGTGTTGTGGTCTAAATGATTTTGAAGGAGAACCAGAGGAGTAATTTCCTTTCCCTATTTTTCATATTGGGTTTCTGTGAACAATAATGAACTGTTTCTGGTTATCTATTGAAATGCTCCTGTTCATCATCATTTTAGGAAGGAGGTTGGAATTGAAGAAGTCAGTTGTGTGGTTAAAGTGATTGAAAGGACTGTGTATTAGTATGTCTTAGGCTATCTGTTATGCCTTTGCATATTTGTTTTACGAGTTTCAATTGGTTGGAGCGGTTGTAGTGACATCTGTGGCCTCCTTCAGATTAGAGGCTATCCATATTGGTTTGAAGGAATCCTATTCTATCTAAATCAATTGTTTGTTAGTGCTTGACAAAATCCCTGGCTGTTTCATCTGCTTTTTATGAGTTTCATGGATAATATCCATTCCTGATTATGTGGTGCAGTTGCTAAATAATTGGATGCAAATACTAATTTCTGTTCATCAGCTTAATCTGGAAATAATTTTTTTTCATGGTTTATGAGTTGGATTTTTTCTTATTCTGGAGGTCTGGGACTTTTTTATCTTAATTTCTGTGGTGTATTTATAGCAGATTGAGCATGTATTGGAGGTTTTGGCTATTTTCTGATGAAGTTTGCTAAGTCTTTAGCAAAGTTGATTAAAGTGCTGCTGTTGTATGCCGGTGATTTAACTTTTTTTACTCCAACCTGCTTATGATCCTGCAGTCAGAAAATGGGGCTTCTTTTCCTACTGTTCTCCACTGTTGATATAAAAGAAGCTGAGGCACCAGTTTCAAGGGGATAAAAATGAGATAGAAAATGTTTTCATATTTTTGAGGCCTTGTCTGACACTTGTAGGGCTCCAATCCTATTGTTTTTGCTGCAACTTAAAGGTGCCTCGTGTTTCTCCAAGTTTGATTCAAGCTTTCACCTGAGCGTATCCATTTACTTGTGAGTTAAGTTATGCATCCTCAGCTTTTTGTTGTGGCATGAATCTGAGTGTAGAATTGTGTGTGGAAGACATTTATTTCTTTATTTTCTTGATGAATTTTACAATTAGGTTAGATTGTTACAAATTGGTGGAAAACAGATAAAGAAGATTAAATAAGGTAATTACATTTATGTAGGCGTTGATTATATGATATAGATGCATGCAGACAAGATTTTTCTATAATCTTAAATGAGAGAGCAGATCATTCAGGTGTATTAGAGTTGTGGGTTATTTCTTTTTCCAGAACATACATTTTGCAGACATCCTTACTCCCAGTTCTAGTGAAAGCTACCCAGGAAATTGATAAATCTTGTTTTTATGTTGGTTCATCATGTTTTTGTTGAGATTGCTCTGTGAGGTTTGTTGCATGTCTATTCATGAATATGTGCGGGAATGGAATTTTCTCTGCGTATGCTCTTTTTTTAGGCCCTTGGAAACGGATTGCATTCTCTTGTGCTGGAGTCTCCTTGCATCTGCACCAACTTTTGATAGTGTGTAATTTCCTCAAGAGTACATCTTCTCTTTCTTCATTTTTTTTTTCTTAATTGTCTTTGCCAATGCAAGTTGCTTATTTGTTTCTGCTGTTTGTATGATGCTTGTAACTCCGCCTCTGTGATATCGCCAGAGCCGGTCCCAAGCCCGGAAATAAGGAGGAGGGAAAGCTGCTCTTTTGTTGGTTACTACACTATAATGGCTGATGTAGTAGAGCTTTTCTTAGATGTTATATATATATAATATGTAACATTATATATATGCCTCTAATATGTTTATTATTTATTGAGGAAAAATAATTATTTTATTTATTTATAAAAAAATAAATAAATTTTTTAATTTTTTAACGTTCGAATAAGCTCGAGTTTGAGTTCAACTAGTCTCGAATTTGAGGTTAAATTCAAGTTCGAGTTTTACATTGAAAGTTCGTCGACCTCAATTTTGAGTTCGAATTTGATAAAATTATCAAGATTCGGCTTAATCAAACTAAAATTCGGTTCAATTTGTCTCATTTGCAGCGCTAAGGCGGCGGCAGTTCCTTGTCCTTGTGGGCAGTAAAGCAATTGGCAACCTAATGTTGAAAATCATGTGAAGTCGCCAGGAACAGGGTTATAACAAAAGTGTGGCAATTCCCACGTTGTGTTAATAATATTTCCTCGAGATTCACAACTGGGTGGACAAAATACATTAAGGAGGTTACTAATGCGGATTATTACTGATACAATCAACTTGCAAGATGCAGGGATGGTTGGGTTGGATGGTAAGAAAAGAAGAATTATAAGTAGAAAGTTTTGATTAAAAATTGCCACTTAAAAAAATCAATTTGCAAGATATAAATTTCTGTATTTGCTCAAAGAATCAAATGATAGAATTAACGTGCCATGTTGTCTTCTTTAATATGTGTGTATATTCAAGATTCACAACTAACTGAGAAAATTTTAGTGGTGGGGTCCCTGATAATCAACCCGCATTATACTTTGAAAGGTTTTTTTTTTTTGGTTGGTCGGACCAAAGCTTTTGATAATGTATAGAAGACTGCATCCGCAAAAAATTAGTCTAACCCACTCTAATTGTAATTTTAGGCACTTCACATTCATTACGTCCTAACCAATTTGGCAAAACTTTCCTAGAGCCAAAGCGTCTAATGGTTTAGATTCTACAATTACTTCAGTTGTATTTTGTGGATAAATCTAATGGATATTTTAATTTACACACTCACACTTACTATTCCCTTGCATTTTCTAATAAGTTACTAATTCTTAAATAATAAAACTATCATAATTGACTCAAATAGAATTACTAAAACTCTAACTTGACTAAAACGCTACTAAATAATAATATGAAAATTTCTAATTTGGAGTCTTGATTTAATATGCCAACATTGCCTTCTTTAAGTCAAACTCAACATGAGTTTGTATTGGTTCTTCATTTTCAAAGACTTTTTTCGTTGCAATAATCCACGCATCTGGATAGATTGTTTTTTTCATACAATTTGATGTCAATTCATTGACAATTCACCACTTTGTAATTTTCATAATTACAATTCAATTGACAGGATTCTTCTTTGATCTCTGTCTTTACACCCACAATTAATCTGACAATTCTTCCGAACCAATCTTATGGTCCAATCTTTACCAATTGAATACTTCATGATCAATCTTGTGGGCTAAATCAATCAATTAATTTCTTCGCAGCAATCTCTTATGATCATAAGCCTCACAACACGAAAACAGCCATGACTATCCTCGTAGCTGGTCAATTTTTCAATATTCATAGGCATCCCAAGATTAATTTCTTGAACTTAGGGCTCTGTTACCAGATGTAGAACAAAAAAATTAACTAAAAATATATTGGAGATATATTTGACAAAACCAAAATGAGGGGGAGGCAATTTACACACATATAAGTGGAAATTTTCTAATAAAATACTAATTTCTAAACAATAAAACTACGATGACTTGACTCTAATAGAATTACTAAAACTCTAACTTGACTAAAACACTATTAAATAATAATATGAAAAATTCTTATTTTGAATTTTGATTTTATATGCCGACATGTAAGTAGGTTACTAGTACAAGCAACTTGCAAGATGTGGGGAGGTTTGGGTTTGGGTAAGAGCGAGGGATTACAAGTAGAAAATCCCATTCAAGACCTCTCATTAAAAAAAAAAAAAAATCAGCTTGCAAGATATAAATCTCTGTATTTGCTGATAGAATCAAAAAACTGATGGAGTTAACGTGCCATGTCGTCTTCTTTACTCTCTTCGTCCCATTAAAAGTGTTATACTTTCCTTTTTTGGCTGTTCCAAAATATTTGTCATGTTTAATATTTCTAACTACTTTATACTCTGAAATTTTCCTTATATCCTTCATTAATGATGCATAAAAACAAATATGTTGGAATTGTTTTCTATTTTTTTACTTTGACCAACACATGATTAAGGGCAAAAGTAAAACAAAAGGAAAAATATTTTAGTGGAGTGTACTATGCATAACAAACACGTATCCCCAAATATGACTAAATATATGGGACGGAAAGAGTAATATGTATGTACATTCAAGATCCACAACTAACGGACAAAATATAGGTGGTGTGGTCACTGATAATCAGCATGCATTATGCGTCTAGCCCAAAGCTTTTGATAATGTATAGAACACTGCATGCGCAAAAATTTGGTCTAATCCCACACTCTAATTGTAATTTTAGGCACTCCACATTCATTGCATGCTAACCAATTTGGCAAAACTTTCCTAGAGCCAAAATGTCTAATGGTTTAGATTCTACAATTACTTGAGTTGTTTTTTGTGGATAAATCTAATGGATATTTTAATTTACAAACTCACACTTACTATTCCCTTGCATTTAGATACTTTCTCAAATTAGTTACAATCTTGTCAAAAAATTTGTATTCCCTGGGCGCTCTCAAGGGCACCTGTTAGCACCCATCAAGAAAAGGATACTTCAAATATGTTTTATAATCAATGAAAAAAATTTAACAACAAAATACAAGACCATTAGATTCTTATTAATCGAGTCAAGAGTCATAAAAAAAAGTTTGGAATGTAATCCTGCAAGTCTGTTACTAAAATTAAATCCAATTTTACCCCAAAATTCTATCTATCAGAATAATTAAATGTAAAAAAGAGAGAAACAAGGTAAGCCTTTTGATTTGAAGAAGTTGAGTACTTGAGCATATACTTAGTGGAAGAACATGTAATCAACAACTAAGGGGATATATGGGAAAAAAATAACATTAAGTAAAAGTAAAAATAATTTTTTGTGAATTTTATCAAAATTGAAAATATATTAAAAATATATCATAATTGTTTGACTTCATGTAATTTGTATTTTACATTGCTAATTATATTGCTAGTAAATGAAAATTTTAACTAAAAATCTATGTATTAAAATGAATCAAGTATTGCAATTGAAAAATTTTTGATATCAATCCTCATTTATTTTTGACGTAAAAATATCAAAATTTTACATAAATAGACAAATACAAATATAGAAGTAATAGAACATATTATGTCCTATAAGTTAATCCATAGCAATTGAGTCAAATTTGTATTTAGTATGTATTTAGTATATTTCATTCTAATATCTGAATATTGATTATACCAAATATTAGAAATTAAGTAAATATTCCATTTTCACTACTCTACCAAACTTGAATAATAATTTTTTCCCCACAATTTTGGCTGGAAATGTATTCTGAGTGGAAAGCCCTTTTCATTCTAAGCATTTTCGCGTACCAAACAAGGGATAATTAAGTTTTGTTATTAAAGCTGATCTTATAGAGCCACAAGGAAAGCGATCTTCGGACGCGGTTAAATTCAATCTCTCCTCTCTAGTCCAGTTTACTTTTTAAATTTTTCTTGGGCATCCATAT